CCAGGAACACTCCTCCTTTGCCCTTCAAAGGACCAACTAATCCTACTTTGGACCTCAGGGAGGATCCCTGTCCTTCAGGAGCCCTACATTGTCTGGCCCGATGAGGTCACATGCACTTTTGTCCACCTATGATGTCTGCTGTCTCCTAGGCTGCGAGCTCCTTGAGGGCAGGCTCTGAGGCTTGTATCCTCAGTGCTTGGCACAAAGTAGGAACTTAGTAAATATTTATGGTTGGATGAATGAATGAAGTGGGTAAGTGCTATGCAGCCATCCATCCATTCATTCATTCAAATACCACAGTAGAGCTGGGTTCAGGAAACCAATGGGTCAGAAAAGACCTCTCAGAGAAGGTGATGCCGAAACTGGATCTCATGTGATAGGTCAAGGGTGAAGGATATTCCAGGCAGGGCCTCTGAGGAAAGGCAGAGAGGCATGAAACAGCCAGGAGTGGAGTTTGAACCCAGCTGTCCCTGAAGCCCTTTCTGGTTAGCCCACATGGGCAGTGCACTGTCAGCATCTGGCTTCTTGAACTTCCTCTTTCTTCCAGACGCTCCTGCTGTGGGCTGGAGTCACATGTCTGTGTCTGACTGCTCCTGAACTCTCACTCAAATCCAGATGTCAGTTAACCTCTGTCATGGATTTTCGGTGGAACCCCAGGGTAAGTTATTTCCCTTCCCTGACTTGGTTCCTCTTCTGCTAAGTGAGGCAAATCATGGTACCCACTTTGCAGGGTCATTCTGGGGGAACTGTGTAACATAGCAGTTGAGGTTATGTTCTCTGGTATTAGAACAGATCTAGGTTGTACTTTCAATTGCCCCTCTCTAGTATGTGACCTGAGCCACGTTTTATTCATTCGTTCATTCGGTAATTATTTCACTAAGTGCTGGCCATCTTCTATGTATCAGGCAATTAGAGGGCAATGAGGGAAAAAAAGACAAAATTCCTGTTCTTAGGGAGCTCACATTCTATTTTTTTGTTTCTTTTTTTTAGGGATGAGGTCTCACTTTGTCACCCAGGCTGGAGTGCAGAGGCCTGATCATAGCTCACTATAGCCTTGAACTTTTGGGCTCAAGTGATCCTCCTGCCTCAGGCCCCTGGGCCTACTGATGAGTGCCACCATGCTGGCTGATTTTTTTATTTTTTAAACATTTTTTGACTAGCTGGGCATGGTAGTTCACGTCTGTAATCCCAGCACTTGGGAGGCCAAGGCAGGTGGATTGCCTGAGCTCATACTTGGAGGGCTTGCTGTGTTGCCCAGGCTTGTCTTGAATTTCTGCCCTTAAGTGATCCTCCCACCTCAGCCTCCCAAGTAGTTGGAATTGCAGCAGAGAACCACCAGGCCCAGATGGGAGCTCACATTCTAATGGGGAGGATAGAAACCAAACATATACTGCGATGTCAGGGAGGCTGACAATTGAGCCGGGCACTGACTGGAAGGGTGGCAGGGTGCCGTATCAAAATAGGATGGTCTGGGGCGGCGCCTGTGGCTCAAAAGAGTAGGGCGCCAGCCTCATATGCCAGAGGTGGCAGGTTCAAGCCCAGCCCCGCCAAAAACTGCAAAAAGAAAAAAAGGATGGTCTGAGGAAGTGACATTTGGACAGAAATCCAGGGGAAGTGAGAGAGTGAGAAGTGGAGGAAAAACAATAAGATCAAAGGCCCTGAGGTGGGAGCAGGCAGGGGTCGTTCTGGAAGAGGAGACCAGAAAGAGGGGACAGGAAACAGACTGAGTGAAGGAGCAAGTGGTGAGCAAGAGCGCAGCAAGGTGGAGCCTGCTCACATGTGACTCTAGAGACCATTGTCTGGCTTCAGCTTTTACTCTAAGTTTATCAGAAATTTGGAGATTTTTTTTTTTTTTT